GCAGAATAGTTTTTTTTTTTTATTTTTTTTTTTTTTTTTTTTTGTAGGTATATTTTTAAATGTCATTTATGTGTTTGTGTGAGTGTTATCGAAGTTCATAAAGCTTTATTGAATTTAAAGCCACCTATAATGAGGTTTCAGACAGGAACCACAACATCACATCTAATGATATATTTAAACTGAGCTTTTGAGATAACCAAAAAAACATTAAATAACTACAATATGTATTATTTCATGAAAAAAATGAATTAATTTAATTTTAACACCATTACTTTTTTTACCTGCTGCTGAATTGCATGCACATAATTGTAAGACATTGTCAGCAAATTACACTTTTATGCCTAAATGAACGCATGGCTACACAGACATTGAACACTGACACTGAAACCTCTGTATGTTATTGGGACACAGCCAGACTATAGTATACAAGCCGCTGTAGGCTGGAGACTCCCAGCAGCTGTGATTTATACTCTCTGTTACTGTCCCTCTTAGAGACGGAGCGTCTTATAGGCCTTGAGGGAGTCGTATACACCTGCACTCGCAGTGACCCCTCACACACACACACACACACACATTCCTGAATGCTGTCTTTTATCATTCAAGTGCCTAGCGAGCTTTGACATGCTTTCTCTCCTTCCCTCTGTTACTCATGCTTTCTTTCAATTCAATCACTTATTCCCTTTCAGTCTCTTGTCGCTTCTGATTTGAAACAAAACAGCATGTGAGGTTTCCTCCATCTCCTGTTCTCCTTTCAGACAGAACAACTATCCTATAAACTATAAATACAGTAACGGAACATAAAGAAGAAACTTTTTATAAATATAAAATATATACAGTAATGTAATATAATTATATTTTATATATATATATATATAGAATAATGTAATATAAACTATAATAAAGTTATTATAATAAAATATTATTATATTTTATATATAAATATCTATTGTTTTATTTAAAAAATATATATGAATATATTATTATTTTATATATAAATATATTTATATATTATAATATAAATTATAAGAAAAATATTTAAATATTATTTTATTTCATATATAATTTTATAATATTTTTTAAATTAAAAAATACATTTAGCAACCTATGACAATTTTCAGCTGTTTTTCCTTGCATATTGCACCTGTCACCAAAACAGTTCCCATTGTGGCCACCCACTGGCAAATGGTTTATTATTGATCTGAAACAACATTTTTCTAGGATTTGGCACTTAACAATTGTTAATTTCAGATCCTGGTGCCTTAAAGTGGTTAAGAGACATTTCAGATGGAATACATAACTTCCATCGAGTCAGAATAACTGGATTTATCCTCCGTTATAACCATAACAAGCTCTGCCTTTGGTTCATATACCGTCTACTGTTCTTTGTACTTTGAGGTAAAGTTCTTTAAAGCGTTTATGATTAAAACCTATCAAAGCATTGTTTAGCAACTACATGATGAATCTTGCGTTTGATCTAGCATTCACAGCAACCTGGCTATTTTCATCAGTCAGCTCTCTATAAACCGCTGCTCCGTTACAGCGTTCAGCTCACATCACTGGAGCATTACACCCATCAATTATTCAGCATGTTGTTTTGTAACCTGCCAGCAATTACCCTCTTAACAAACTCAATCTCGCTTCAACATAAATTACGCCCTCTTAATTAATTACACTTCATCGTTGGTTGCTGGAGAACCATTAATCACACTTTATATTTAATTACATTTTATAGGTACATTACCTGTAACACACATTGAAGACATTTTGAGTGTCAAACACAAACTTAATTCAATCAGATCTGTGCTTTTACATGCATGGATAATATGTTCTTAGTTCAGTGTGAAGTAGAAGTGCTATAATCTATCTATCTATCTATCCGTCCGTCCGTCCGTCCGTCCGTCCGTCCGTCCGTCTGTGTTAATTATCAATAAATAATTCTAACATTATTTATAAATAATTGTAAATATTGAAGTATATTTTTTAAATAAATAAAATTAAATATTATTTGTTAATAAATATTATAAATATGTATTTTCATTGATGTATGAATTGAGAAAATGTAATTTATTTAAAAGTATTTATATTTATAAATTATTTATAAATTCTCAATTATATTTATAAACAAGTATACAATTTAAACAATATTATAAAATGATTTATTATTAATTGTAAATATTACATTTCAATATTT